GCACGTCGCAATATTTATATCCTATTTATGTAGGTCCGATGCGAAATGGACAATATTGGCCCATTCCTTCGGATCGTACTCCATGGAGGCTCAACAATTTGTATACTCATAAAAGAAGTGGAAATATATTTAAATAATCGAACATTGGCTGAGGGTATACATCTGTCGGCCATATCCACTGATACTTTTTAACTTCTTTGTTAAAAATAGGAAAACATATAATTTAGAAAAATCTATGGATTTAAAAAATAATTTATATTTGTTAACAAAATATTATAAATCCGAAAATAATGTTTTAATCCAGAAAACATAAACACCAAAAAAAAAAAAAAAAAAAAAAAAGCCGTAGACATAGCTACGTGTTATTGACACAGTTGGTTTGACTACTCCGCTAAGTCATAACCATAGAAACACTAGCGAACAAAACAAATGCCATTAAAATGTTCTGCTTTGATGTGAAATGAAAGCGAGCTGAGTTTTTTTTTTTTGCAATATGGCATTTCATAGTCAGAAGTCAATGAGAACACATTTTACGATGTTAATAAAGTTTGGAATGCAGACACCATGAAATGTTAAGAATTAAAGAAAGAAAAATAAAAAACTCTGCAATAATAACAATAATGCAAAAAGAAAAACAAATTTAATAACGACTTTTTATTATAATAATCTGGCAAGTTTTGATGGTAAAAAAAATCATAAAAAAGAGAGATGTTTTTTTTAATGAAGAATATTAGAAAATAAATAAAATAATATAATAATAATATGTAAATAAAAGTAAGTAAAATTAATAAATAAATAGATAAATTGTGAAATAAATAAAAATAAATAAACAACCAAAATACACGATTTTTGACTAAGAACTCCTTGCAGAGATGTTCTGAAAAATCCCCGATCCTGTCAAAAAGTCCTTCAAAATATTTTACTAAAAACCCATAATATGCCTTAACAATATTTTCCTTAAAAATAATAAAATAAAAATAATAAAAATAAAAAAATATATTTTTCGGTCTAGAGGTCTTAAAAATATTTTCTGAAAAAAAATCTCAAAATGAAGATTTTTTTTTCAATTAGGATTTTTATAAAAAAAGAAATTCCTGCAGAAATGTTCTGAAAAATCCACGATCCTGTCAAAAAGTCCTTCCTTAAAAAATCAAAATATCCTTGCAGAAATGTTCTGAAAAATCCACGATCCTGACAAAAAGTCCTTTAAAATATTTTACTAAAAATCTATAATAAGGCTTAACAATATTTTCCTTAAAAATCCAAAAAACTTTGTATTGGAAATATTTTAAAATATATTTTCACAAAAAAAAAAAAAATATTTTTTGGTCTAGAGGTCTTAAAAATATTTTCTGAGAAAAAAATCTCAAAAGGAAGATTTTTTTTTTTCAAAAAAAAATTAATTTTTTTCAATTAGGTTTTTTATAAAAAAAAAGAAATTCCTGCAGAAATGTTCTGAAAAATACACGATCCTGTCTAAAAGTCCTTCAAAATATTTTACTAATAATCCATAATATGCCTTGACAATAATTTCCTTAAAAAATCAAATCAAAAATCCTCAATTGGAATTATTTTTAAATATTTTTTCACAAAAAAATATATTTTTCCGTCTTGAGATCTTAAAAATATTTTCTGAAAAAAAATCTCGAAAGGAAGGAATATATTTTTTTCAATTCGAGTTTTTATAAGAAAAGAAATTTCTGCAAAAATGTTTTGAAAAATCCACGATCCTGTCAAAAAGTCCTTCAAAATATTTTACTAAAAATCTATAAGACTTAACAATATTTTCCTTAAAAAATCTAAAAAAAACTTTGTATTGGAAATATTTTAAAATATATTTTCAAAAAAATAAAAAAAATATATATTTTTTGGTCTAGAGGTCTTTAAAATATTTTCTGAAAAAATCTCAAAAAGAAGATTTTTTCACAAAAAAAAATATTTTTTTTTAAATTATGATTTTTATAAATTTTTTTTTAGAAAACCACAATTTTTTGTCCTCAGACGAATTTTTAAAAAATCTAAAATTTTTGTAGAAATTCCTACGAAAATATTAAATTTTTGCCACTCTTGAGGACGTATGATTTATATAATTTCAAAAATATTGATTATACGCAACATGGTTTCATTTATGGACCAGCAAAATTCTATAAAATGCCTTTATCCTACGGAAAAAAGGTTTTGAATGAAAAATTACTTTGATAAGTCTTAAAAAAAATATTTTAAAAGAATCACTTTGATTAAAAAAAAAATATTTCCGAAAAATCCTTGTTTATTAGTTCACAAAAAAAAAAATATTTTTTAAAAATCCCCGTTGATTGCACCGTGGAAAAAATATTTTTTAAGAAATCTCTTCAAGTTGTCATCCTTGGAAAAAATATTCTTTAAAAATCCGCGTTGATTGGTCTTTGGAGAATATATTCTTTAAAAAAATGATCCATGTTTTCAACCACGGAAAAATATATTTTTTTAAATCCGCATTGATTTGTCCTTGGAACAATATTATTTAAGTAATTCATCCATGTATTCATTCTTGAAAAAATATATTTTTTAAAAATCCACGTTGATTTTTAGGAAATCTACGTTGAATGGTCTTTGGAAAAATATTATTTCAAAATCAACGTTGATTGGCCCTGAGAAAAAATATTTTCTAAGAAAACCATTCTTTAAAAAACTACGTTGATTTGTAAAATATATTTCTTAGAACTCCATGTTGGTTTGGAAATAATATTCCTTAAGAAATCTATTCATGTGTTCATCCTTGGAAAAAATATTCTTTAAAAATTCACGTTGATTGCTCTTTCGAAAAAATATTTTTCCTTGCAAGGATTTTATAAAATATCCTAAGGAAAATATTCAATTTTTGGCACTCCTGAGGACGTATGATTTATATAATTTTAAAAATATTGATTATACGCAACATGGTTTCAATACTGGCAAGCAAAAGACTATTAAATGATTAAAAAAGACATATAGTTTCCGAAAAATCCTTCTTGAAAAATATTGTTAAAAAATCCACTTTGATTGGTCCTTGGAAAAACTTTTTTCCTTGGAAAAACAATTTTTTTATGGAATCCATCCACGCTTCATCCTTGGAAAAAAATATTCTTTATAAAAATATTCTGCACTGATTGGTCCTTGGAAAAATATTTTTTAAGATATCCATCCATGATTTCATCCTTGGAAAAAATATTTTTTAAAAATCCACGTTAATTGGTTCTTGGAAAAATATCCTTCAACAAATCCATCTATGTTTTCACCCTTGGAAAAAATGTTCTTTGAAAATCCTTGGAAAAACTATTTTTTTTATAAAATCCATACATGTTTTTACATCCTTGAAAAATATTTTTTAAAAATCCTGGAAAAAAATATTCTTTAAAAAAAATCATCAATGTTTTCATCCTTAGAAAAAACATGTACTAAAAAATTCATCTAAGTTTTCATTCTTGGGAAAAATATTTTTTAAGAAATCCATCAATGTTTTTACATCCTGGGAAAAAAATATTCTTTAGAAATCTGCGTTAAGTGGACCTTGAAAAAATATTCTAAATATTTCTAAGAAATCCATTCATGTTTTCATCCTTGCAAAAAAATAATCTTTAAAAATCCACGATGATTGATCTTTGAAAAAAAAAAAATATTTTTAAGAAATCCATCCATGTTTTCATTTTCATATTTTCTTTAAAAATCCTCGTTGATTGGTCCTCGAAAAAAATATTATTTAAAAAATCCACTTTGATTGGTCCTTGGAAAAAATAGTCTTTAAAAAATCCACGTTGATTGGTCCTTGGAAAAAAGTCTTTAAAAAATCCACGTTGATTGTCCTTTGAAAAAAATATTGGGATAATATTCTAGAAATCCTTCAACAAATACAATTTTTCGCCAGGAAGTCCTAAAAACTTAATTAACATCTTTGGTTCCTCAAAAATATCCAAAAAAAAAAAAAAAAAATATATTCATGTCCAGCAGCCCTTTAAAAATCACTTTTCTTGGGGAAGGAAGTTGGGACGTACTTGAAAAATATTATTAGAAAAAGTCAGCCGGTAAGTACTTTTAAGTTATATTAAAAATTTTGGATTGCTAGCCAAAAGTTATTTTAGAAAAACTAACCTAGGAAAGAATGTCTTCCACAATTCCATATTTTTTGATCAGAAAGTCTCTAATCAAATATTCTTCAAAAAAAAAAAATACATTCTAGAGCTGGATTCTTGTTCTAAGAAAGTAATATTGTTTTTTTTTTTTAATCCTTAATTTGGCATTTCCTTCTTCATAGAACAAAAACTTGAGATCCTGGTAAAGGCTTTGGTTAAAATGGATTTCAAATGGAAATGGACGGATTATACGAGGTACGTGATTTTTCATCGAAAAAGTTCAACCCCTAAAAGGGAGCTATTTATAAAATCTTGTCATTAAAAAATCTTTTAATATTAAAAGCTTGTACGCCAAGATATAAGAAGGTATAAAACAACTTAATTTACATTCGGTAGAAGCATTGGAAAGTTCGACATTAGGAAAAATCGGGGCCAATGCCACCTTTTATGACAGTTATGACCACTTGTGGCACAAGAAAGAGTGGACCTATGAATTTGAATTGCATACTTGATTTAATAATGAAAAACATATTGGAATGCAGACTATGAGAAAAATCATAGGAAGCTACCTTCAAGACCCCCCAAAAAATTCAGCTTGCCGTTCAAATTACCAATAATTGCGAGGAATTTTTCGAAGCCTGGGTCCTTGAATATTGTGTCTACTACCATTTAGAATTTTAAATATCAAATTTAGGAAACCTTGGCAGGACAATGTCTAAAAAATTATTAAATTTCTCTCGCTGACGCATAATAGAAAGGGCCGTCGATATTTAAATGAAATTGTATTGAAATAGACAGCTTTAAGTCTCATTTATATTCTAAAATTTGAATAATAATAAAGGCAAAATACAAAAATTCCATTGGTCCCACGATTAACTGTTTAAATAAAATATTCCACCCTCAAAAACTTACCCGAATGACTCGCCTCCCGAATCAGGTCATTGATGATTTCATCTCGCACATTTATGCCCAAATTTTTCAACATAAACTGGAGTTCATTTGCTGTAACACGGCCATCACGATTTCTGTCTAATAAATCAAAAGCTGTGCGTAGATCTAGAAAAGAAAAAACGAGGAGATAAAAAGGAGAAGGACATTAGCAAAACACAGAAAATTGGGAAAATAACAAATTTCTGTTAACATTTTTTGTTGTTGTTGTTAATAGACGTTTCATGGACGTGTTTGTTTTACAAAGCAACAAAAAATAAATGAATAATAAATGTTGTTGTGGTTAAAAGGCAAGTGTCAATGAAGAAAATAAGATAAAACAGCTTGTTTTGTGGTATGATTAATATTTATTAGGTCAATAAATGTTGAGCATACGCAGTGTGGTGCAGAATTGAAATGAGATTTTTTTTATGAAGGATAATAATATACTACGCCGAATGTTTTGTTGCAGATAATGTGTGAAGAGCAAACAGCAATATGGTGTGCATGAGGGCGTATGATTTACGTCGTTAGAAATAGCAATGTTGCTCATACGCAACAGGGGGGTTCAATGGAAGACAAGCAAACGTCTATGAAATGGATTTTATTTTATAAAATATAAAATATTGAATGTTTGAATATTTTAAGGGGAAAAACACGCCTGTGGGTCCTTGAAAAACATTTTCTAAAAAATCAACGTTCAAAAAATCCTTTTCATAATGTTTGTGTGAGAGTGGGTATATTGTCCTTAATATATTTGTATATATATGTATTGCTTGCATGGATAATTTTTCTATTTATTTTTTTTTTTGTTTTTATTTTCCATTATTTTATTTTTTTTATTTTTCGTACAGCTGACACACGATTAATTAAATTTCTATGTTAACATTCGAGTATTTCTGATTCCGATTTACACACATTCATGACACAAAAAGGATGTTGCTGACTTCGGGCGATAGTGTCTTTATTGTCGATACACTTCATTTAATTTTTTTTTTTTTTGGAAAGAGGAGAGGGAATATGTGGTAGATATTTGAGGGGGTAAAAATCAAAATCATGGAAGATTATCTTTCAAGGACAATAAGAATTAATAAAATAAATAAATAAAGGAGAAACCAAAGTGAATTTTTAAAGATATTTTTTCGAAGACCAACACAGATTTTTTAAACGTGTTTTTTTAAGAATATTTTCTCAAGGACCAACAGATTTTTTAAAATATTTTTTCAAGGACTACATAAACTTGGATTTTTAAAGAATACTTTTTGGATTTTTTAAAGAATATTTTTTTTCAAGGACCAAACAAACGTGGATTTTTTAAAGATTATTTTTTTCAAGGACCAATAGAACGTGGATTTTTTAAAGAATATTTTTTAAAGCCCAATAAACGAGGATTTTTAAAAAATATATTTTTAAGGACCAATAAACGTGGATTTTTTTAAAGAATATTTTTTTCAAGGGCCAAAAAGAACGTGGATTTTTTAAAGAATATTTTTTTTCAAGGACCAAATAAACGTGGATTTTTTAAAGAATATTTTTTCAAGGACCAAATAAACGTGGATTTTTTAAAGAATATTTTTTCAAGGACCAAATAAACGTGGATTTTTTAAAGAATATTTTTTCAAGGACCAAATAAACGTGGATTTTTTAAAGAATATTTTTTCAAGGACCAAATAAACGTGGATTTTTTAAAGAATATTTTTTCAAGGACCAAATAAACGTGGATTTTTTAAAGAATATTTTTTCAAGGACCAAATAAACGTGGATTTTTTAAAGAATATTTTTTTCAAGGACCAAATAAACGTGGATTTTTTAAAGAATATTTTTTTAAGGACCAAATAAACGTGGATTTTTTTAAAGAATATTTTTTTCAAGGGCCAAAAAGAACGTGGATTTTTTAAAGAATATTTTTTCAAGGACCAAATAAACGTGGATTTTTTAAAGAATATTTTTTCAAGGACAAAATAAACGTGGATTTTTTTAAAGAATATTTTTTTCAAGGGCCAAAAAGAACGTGGATTTTTTAAAGAATATTTTTTTCAAGGACCAAATAAACGTGGATTTTTTAAAGAATATTTTTTTCAAGGGCCAAAAAGAACGTGGATTTTTTTAAAGAATATTTTTTTCAAGGGCCAAAAAGAACGTGGATTTTTTTAAAGAATATTTTTTTCAAGGGCCAAAAAGAACGTGGATTTTTTAAAGAATATATTTTTCAAGGGCCAAAAAGAACGTGGGTTTTTTAAAGAATATTTTTTTCAAGGACCAAATAAACGTGGATTTTTTAAAGAATATTTTTTCAAGGACCAAAAGAAACGTGGATTTTTTAAAGAATATTTTTTCAAGGACCAAAAGAAACGTGGATTTTTTTTAAAGAATATTTTTTCAAGGACCAAAAGGAACGTGGATTTTTTAAAGAATATTTTTTTCAAGGACCAAAAGGAACGTGGATTTTTTAAAGAATATTTTTTTCAAGGACCAAAAGGAACGTGGATTTTTTAAAGAATATTTTTTTCAAGGACCAAAAGACGTGGATTTTTTAAAGAATAATTTTTTAAGGACCAACAGACGTGGATTTTTTAAAGAATACTTTTTCAAGGGCCAAAAGAAACGTGGATTTTTTAAAGAATATTTTTTCAAGGACCAAAAGAAACGTGGATTTTTTAAAGAATATTTTTTCAAGGACCAAAAGAAACGTGGATTTTTTAAAGAATATTTTTTCAAGGACCAAAAGAAACGTGGATTTTTTAAAGAATATTTTTTCAAGGACCAAAAGAAACGTGGATTTTTTAAAGAATATTTTTTCAAGGACCAAAAGAAACGTGGATTTTTTAAAGAATACTTTTTCAAGGACCAAAAGAAACGTGGATTTTTTAAAGAATATTTTTTCAAGGACCAAAAGAAACGTGGATTTTTTAAAGAATATTTTTTCAAGGACCAAAAGAAACGTGGATTTTTTAAAGAATATTTTTTTCAAGGACCAAAAGAAACGTGGATTTTTTAAAGAAAAATTTTTCAAGGATTAACAGATATTTTTTCAAGGACCATTAGAGACGTGTATTTTTTATACCCTCAGCCATATGGCTACAGAGGGTATATATCATTTGATACGGTCAAAACGTGCCTAGTCGAAATAACGGTTTTAGACCCTAGGTCTCTTTGGACCAAATCCGTTTCAGAACATTTGGAGTCGATCTAGCGATGTCCGTCCGTCCGTCCGTCCGTCCGTCCGTCTGTCTGTCAGTCTGTCTGTCTGGCTGGCTGGTGCGCACGATAACTCTCGAAGGGAGTATCCGATTTGGTCCAAACTTGGTACATCGTAATATTTTTGCCAAACTTAGATCGAGTTCGAAGATGGGCAATATCGGTCCACTCCTTCTGGTACCTCCCCCACAAAAGGTCGAAATTTGCAAAAAATTTATTCTTTGCACAGAAAGAGAAGGGAAAATCCGATTTTGCTTTAAATTTTGCAAATCCTAATATTTGCATCAGTGCTAGGTCAGGTGTGAATATGGACAATATCAGTCCACTCCATCAAGTACTTCCCCCACAAATGGTCAAAATTTTGAATAATTACAACTCTCATAAAATTTGATTTAAGAGTCCGATTGTCTTCAAATTTTACACATCCCAATATTTATATTAACCCAAGGTCTGGTGTTAAGATGAGCAATATCGGTCCACTCCTTCTGGTACCTCCCCCACAAAAGGTCGAAATTTGCAAAAAATATATTTTTTGCACAGAAAGAGAAGGGATAATCCGATTTTGCTCAAACTTTGCAAATCCTAATATTTGCATCAGTTTTACGTTAGGTGTAAAAATGGACAATATCGGTCCACTCCTTCTGGTACCTCCCCCACAAAAGGTCGAAATTTGCGAAAAATATATTTTTTGCACAGAAAGAGAAGGGATAATCCGATTTTGCTCCAACTTTGCAAATCCTAATATTTGCATCAGTTTTACGTTAGGTGTAAAAATGGACAATATCGGTCCACTCCTTCTGGTACCTCCCCACAAAAGGTCGAAATTTGCAAATCATATATTTTTTGCACAGAAAGAGAAACGATGATCCGATTTTGCTCCAACTTTGCAAATCCTAATATTTGCATCAGTGCTAGGTCTGGTCTTAAAATGGATAATATCGGTTCACTCCTTCAAGTACCTCCCCCACAAATGGTCAAAATTGTGAATAATTACAACTCTCATAAAATGTGATTTAAGAGTTCGATTGTCTTCAAATTTCACCCATCCTAATCATTTTATTAGTCAATGTGTGGTGTTAAGATGGAGTATATCGGTCCACTTCTTCTGGTACATCCCCCACAAATGGTCGAAATTTTAAAAATATATATTTTCTGCACAGAAAGGGAAGCAATAATCTAATTTTGAAAAACATAACACTCAAAGAAAGCGAAATAAGGATCCAACTCTCTTCAAATTTCACACATACAATAATTTTTGCTAACACCAGATCTGTTGTGAAGATGCTATATATCTTCGAATACCTTCTGGCACCTCACCCACAAAGGGACACAATTTTCAATATTTTCATTTATCATAAATTACGAAGCGATTCAGCGATTCTTTACATTTGCTATACCCATCTACTATAATTTATTTGTTTACATATATAATTAGTTTTATATATAATTATATTTATATCATATTTATTTATGTGGGATACGAAATGGACAATATTGAACGATTCTTTCAAAACCCACTCCATAGAGGGTGGATAGGGCTGAGGGTATACATCTGTCGGCAAAACCGACCGATACTTTTTTACTTGTTTTTAAATATTTTTAATGTCTAAAAATCAATGCGAAAAATACCAAATATAAAACTATGTTGAAATATTTCTGTAAAATGATTTTCTATTCCCAAACTAGCCTAAATAGCCAAATCGAGTGGAAAATGTGGTCAAGACCCTCGAAATGAGTAAAACCACGATGCCAAACAAGGGGAAATAGCTAAAATCAGGGGGGTACCTGCATATGAGGGTTGTACCAAAACGTGGCCTAAATTGATAAAAATTACTACAATTCGTTGGTTAATGATCGACGAGGAGCAACTTCCGATGAATTTCATATCAAATTATTTTCAAAATCTTTTCTTTAGAAATTTCTTTTTGTTT